CACAGCTTGCTAAAATAAATCAATGACTACATGCCAACATTACATACATTGCGTTTGATGTGAACTGTCTTTGATTATGAAAATGAAGGTGACACACCCTGAAGGCTTATAATACTTTAAAAAAAAAACTAAGATTTCAGTTATAAGGAAGTGTGTTTATGAAAACCCTCCCATGCTCATAAATACCAGCCTTGCCCTCTTTCATTCAAATGCTCTGTAATCATTACATTCCTTCTGATTCAAGGTCTAATCTGAGAAAATTGAGCCATTATAAACATTAACGTTGCTTTGTTTCCTTGTAAACCTTATGCATGTTTTTGCTTATCACAAAATTATGTACATGAAATGCTCCCATACAATGCAAAGAAAAAAGTTATAAAATAACATTTTCTTGACGACAGAATGATAATCTAATAATCTGCATATGGAATCAGCACATCTATATTCACATCAGATCCAGAGCAGGCGGGTGTTTTGGGGGTAGAAACTCAATCATATTTGGATTACGAGATAAGGCCCTATCATTCAACTCCACAAGAATGCTTTTTATCAAAATCTTTAGTAACACATTAATTTATTGGCTGTTGATGCTTGCTTTAGTATGGTTTGTTTGTAAAGTTGACATTCATTCATGCCCCTGTAAAGGGAAGATTCTAGGATCCTACAGTGTTATACTGAAACTATTTATTGATATCATAGACCGGCAGTACATAGATATGGCACACACCCCGATGACGCTTTATAGGAAAACAACTGGGAACCATAGAAAAAAAATAAAATAAAATAAAATAATTCTCTCTCCAGCTAAATTAATCATGGCCAGAAGAAACTGCCATGTATTTGGAATACAACTTTTGTGCTTAATTAGCTAATCAAAAATCATTGTACACTAGTGATGTCTGCAAATAAAATAACATTAACCTTTTAATTAATAAATCGATATTTGTTTTGGTTGCCATAGTAGTGGTCTTAAACTACTAAAAATGTTTGTTGAAAATGGCTGCCTTAATTTTTTAAATAAAAAAAAAAAAAGTAGTGCCAACATTAAAACCAACAAAGTAACCACAGCCAAGTAAGTTTATTGCACTTTTTTGAACAACTTTAATTACTAGTAGAAATTAATCTAATTAAAGTAGAAAACAGCTATTTTCAATTATATTTGAAAATATAAAATAAATGCAGTTTGGTGAGCATAAGGTTTTTTTAATCTCCAAACTTTTGAACAGTAGTGCACACATTTAACATCCGTTTAACTACAAATATAAAATCTCTAGTTGAATAACAAGTGTGAAAAAATATTTCACCAATGAATGAAAAATCTGTGATTTACATCATTTACTCACATTCATGTTCATCCAATTTAGAATATACGTATATTGAAATAACACAAATGAGATCAGAGAGCTATGACAGAGGAGACGGATTTTGGTGAATACTTTTATAAACTTGAATGTTGGGCTGTCCTTCAGACAAAGCTATCTTATGACTTCAAAACACTTGGAAGTGGCAAGTATGGCATCATTTGGACTACTGTTATGGACTTTTGTATTATGCAGTATGTCATTTAGTGAGCTTGACAGTTCCTGGTCCCCCTCACTTTTGTTTTTAAGAGTAGATTGTATTAACACTGATCTGATCAGTTTTGGAACAATATGAGGGTGATGAACAATGACATTTTTGGGTGAAGTAAAATAGACAAAAATCACTCTCCAGTTGCTCCTGCTGTCAGCTTTAACTTCTCTTCTCAACATCAAATCAGAATTTTGACACCTTTGTGACAGGAATTCTCTCCATGTTTCTCTTCAGTGCTTTATTCAGCGCGTTTAAAATGACATCCGTGTTGTTCAGAATGTTGTAGGTGGTGAGGTTGGTCAGCTTCTGGAAATCCTCAGGTTGGTATGTTAGGTTGTGAGTGGCGAATGGACAGAACATACTAGTGAAGTCAATATCAAAATCTCCTTCCTCCAGCTCCGCCTTACCCCCTCTCTTCACTCCTGCCACACAAACACACACACACAATTAGTTAATATAAATACACCTTGTAATCTTCTGTATATCTTCATGCAAAAGGAGAATGTCTAAGATTCTTAAAGCAATAGTTCAACCAAAAATGAAAATTATTTGCCAACATTTATGCACTCTTATGACATTCAAAACCTGTATGACTATTTCTTCTGCAGGTCACAGAATATCAAAATGCCTCAGTGCTTTTTGTTCATACAATGAAAGTCAATAGGGTCCACTGTTTTGGATCCCATTGACTATCACTGCATGGACAAAACTGTTGGAATATTTCTCAAATTTACTTTTTGGTGAGTAAATGCTAGAATTTTAATTTTGGGGTGAACTATCCCTTTAATAACACCAACTTACAGGTTACAGATGGTAGTACTCACCAGGAGACTTGAACTGCTTGAATGAGACATTGACCAAGGGAAAGTGGATCACTATGGGAACATCTGGATTCTCTTTATCCTCAAACACATAAACTTCCCTAATCGGCTCGGACTCCAGCTTCTTATAATCGATCTTTGGAAAAAGAATCTTGCGTTCAGCGCAGTACTCCTGAGTTTGCTTAATGACCTATTGGACACAAACAGAAACAATCAGAATCACATTTCATCCCATTCTCCTCGTAATCTGACATTATCTTTGTGGTCTCTCACCTTGAAGTGGTCCGGGTCCCAAGCGTAGTTCAGGGACAGAATGACGTCCGCGCGTCTGTTACAGCGTAACACAGGAGGGAATCCTGACTTGATGACAAAAGCAGTATCCACCAGGCCAAGTGTGGCGTCTGCTGGTGTCAGGGAGTTTGGGAAGGCATCTGGATGTGTGTCTGCAGAAAGTCTACTTTATAATTAATCCTTTCCCAGGTTGATGAAACTGATTCAAGAGAGGAATTGTACTAATTAGGCTAAACTTGACAGCATAAATGATGTTCTGACCTTTCCATGTGGTGAAGTCACATCACTCACTGTAGTTCCTGTGCAGGTCCTATTGGACACAAACAGAAACAATCAGAATCACATTTCATCCCATTCTCCTCGTAATCTGACATTATCTTTGTGGTCTCTCACCTTGAAGTGGTCCGGGTCCCAAGCGTAGTTCAGGGACAGAATGACGTCCGCGCGTCTGTTACAGCGTAACACAGGAGGGAATCCTGACTTGATGACAAAAGCAGTATCCACCAGGCCAAGTGTGGCGTCTGCTGGTGTCAGGGAGTTTGGGAAGGCATCTGGATGTGTGTCTGCAGAAAGTCTACTTTATAATTAATCCTTTCCCAGGTTGATGAAACTGATTCAAGAGAGGAATTGTACTAATTAGGCTAAACTTGACAGCATAAATGATGTTCTGACCTTTCCATGTGGTGAAGTCACAGTTCTCACTGTAGTTCCTGTGCAGGTGGAAGCCTCTAAGGAAGTTGAACACTTGGCTGATAATGGGGCGGCAGGTCAGAAAGTTGCTCAGCTTTTTTGCCAAATCAGACATAGGGCTGACCTGAAGTGTGTCTGACGTTGATGGTTTGTCATCTGTGTCTACAGATATAGGATGATAACGTTTTCATTGTTGGCAAATAGATTAAACAAATTTGAACATAAAACAGAATATTTGCCATCACAAAATTGTAATCACAGCTGGTAAAGCTGTGATTACACAGTATTTACTCCGTCTGAGTGGTTTTCACTTTTTGAAAAATTGAGAAAAATGTTTAACTTGCTTTTATTCTGATTAGTATCTTAGAGTAGTAATATATACCCTTAAGGTACTAATGTTTTTAGACACTTGATTGCATGTTTTATTATTATTTTATTTCTACTGTTGTCTTTGAAATATGGTTAAAGTGTACTCCCAAATGTACTGACAAGCATTTATGACAAATTAAAATATACTTTAATGTAATTTCTACTGACACTTGTGTCATATATTTACACATAATGATCATGTTAAAATTTAGTACATTTAAATTATATTAAATGTAATATCAAATAACACCATGTTTAAAATAATCAAGTATTTTACATGTACTTGTTAGTCAACACATCAAAACAGTTGTACTTAAAGCATGACAAAAGAATATAAAAAAAATAATGATTTAAAATGTCAAAACATTTAATTTGAGATCATTACAAAAATCAGTGTACTTAAGTGCGTTATGAAAGTAATGAAAGTGTACTCTCTTTAAGGACACTTAAGTGCTCTTTTATGTAATTAATCTTATGTTATCTGCAAGTATAGTTTTTTTGTATTGTATTGATTTGCACTATTGAAGAGTGCATATTCAATACAATTTAGCATACTTCTATACTTTACAAGGGTACTTGCGATAAAGCTGAAAGGCACCAAAATATATGAGAACCTGCACAAAGTATTTGCTCAGGTAGTCTTACTCATTGTCCCTGCCTTCCTCTTACCTGTCTGGTTCACTTCTTCCCCAATCTTGCTGGCCCAGGATGGGATCACTCCAGTGACAACACTCCAAAGCTGAGTCAGACTCAGGGAGAAAACACTGCTCCATATTCCTGCAAACACAACACATTTTGAATAATATGAATACAACTGCCAGTCATTATATTTAACTTAAAATTCATTAATCAACCTTTGGAGTATTTAAATATATTTACCCAATAGAGAGTAAATTCCAGATTCTGGGAGTTTCTTGACCATATGGCCGAGGTAATATTCACTCCCAAAGTTCTGTGCAGGTATGAAGACACCATACTTGGTAAATCCCACCTCAAATGGGGTGAACTCACACCATTCTGAATGAGAAAAGAACAAAGAGAAACATGGACAACATATCTACAGTAAGCACTTTTAGTTGCTCTCAATACAGAGAGCTACAATTGATCCGTTGAGGAACAAACATAATTAACTTAACCATAATGGACCTTTATCTTGTAAGACAGGAAGTAGCAGGCAAATTAAACCAGCCAAAGTAAATTAAAATCAATTCTTACCAGTCTCTATGGTACATCCTGTTTTGCCATTCTTCATGTTGAGAGCTGTGTAGATGGGAAGAGGGTTCTGGCCCTTTGATAGTGCCATCTGCTGGTCAGATAGTGTTCCCATTTTTTTCTGCGTAAAAAAAGAATTTATAAAGTTTCTGATTGAGAAACTTATCTGCATTTATTTATGCTTAAAATGTATTTCGTCTCTGTGCTGTCAAGGGTATTCCGTACCTTCCCTTGGATGAGGTATTCTATAGCCAGACCCCACATGTCGACAAGAGATACTAGGTGTCCTTCTTTCTCTCTCTCTTCCATCTTCTCTTTGTAGTGCCGTAGCTGCTCAGGGGAAAATATACTGAACACACTTTTAGAGATCTCCTTCTTTACAGACTCCATAACCCCATTTAGGTCATTGTTTGACCAGTTAGCATCACCATAAAGAGAAGCCATAGTCCTATGAGACAATGAAAGAAAGTTTGATGTTTAATGACATATCTAATGTAAAATCTGGGTTTTGAAGCAAAGCCTGATGAAGCACTGATTTGGAAATGGACAGGCCTGTAGTGCTCCTTATACTCACCAGGTGGAGCCAGAAATCCCTGTGATGTAGCTGACTGTATCAAGAAGCTGGAGTTTCTGCAGAGCTCTTAGGCCTCCAAATGTGCCACACATCGCTCTGGTCCCGCCGCCAGAACACACCACAGCCACCAATGGGACCTGAGAAGTCACATCAATCTTATAAGTATATATATTTTTCATCAATTAATCAAACAAGCGTCAGAACAAGACATGCCATATCCACCTTATTTTTATCGTAAGACCGGAGGGCAATTTGAAAGTTGAATTTGCAAAGCTTATGGTGTTATCTGCTTCCAGTTATTTTTAGCTGTACAGACTGTTACAATGGTTGATATTGCAAACTGGTATTTCTTATCCTTATTTTAATGTATTGTTGCAATCATAAACACTGGTTTGCATTGCGATAGTTTTGCCGTTTATTTTGTTATTCTTCTACATAATGTATTGGAATTCTCACACATTTACAGAAAATAGCATATTTCTGTGTTGCATAAATGAAATTATTAAAATATAAATACATTAAATTAAATTTTTTATAATCAATTAAATTAAAATTGATGGGAACAACAGTAAAACTGCATGTCAGGTGACACTGCCAGGAAGTGTCTGTTGAATGTGCAAATACTCAAGTTTGTGTTTGTTTTCTTGCCTTGCTGGTCTCAGGTGCAGAGCTGAGATTCAAAGCTTTCTGAAGAGCTTGTGACACGACTTTTTGTCTCTTCACCAGAAAATTATTTTCTTCCATTGGAATATCAAAATCCAGACGCACATCCAACTTTTCGTCAGAGCTTTAAAACAAACACGATTATTTTGAGAGATGA